ACACACACACTCACACACACACTCACACACACACATACACACACACACACACACACACACTCACACACACACATACACACACACACTTACACACACACTCACACACACACTCACACACACACACTTACACACACACACTTACACACACACTTACACACACATTCACACACACACTTACACACACAGACTTACACACACATTCACACACACACTTACACACACAGACTTACACACACATTCACACACACACTTACACTCACACACACACTTACACTTACACACACACTCACACACACTTACACACATACACACTTACACACACACTTACGCACACACACACATTCACACATGATGCACAAACTACACAACGCGCATACACAAAGATTACCGCATATGAAACCCTTAATCACACACACATAAACTCAACACACACACATACATACCAACATACACACTCACACACATACCAACACACACACTCACACATACCAACACACACACTCACACATACCAACACACACACACACACATACCAACACACACACACACACACATACCAACATACACACACACACACACCAACACACACACACACACCAACATACACACTCACACACATACCAACACACACACTCACACGCATACCAACACACACACTCACACACATACCCACACACACACACACACACACCAACACACACACTCACACACACCAACACACACACACACACATACCCACACACACACACACACACATACCAACATACACACACACACATACCAACACACACACACATACCAACATACACACTCACACACATACCAACACACACACTCACACGCATACCAACACACACACTCACACACATACCAACACACACACTCACACACCTACCAACATACACACACACACATACCAACATACACACTCACACACATACCAACACACACACTCACACGCATACCAACACACACACTCACACACATACCAATCTATTTTTAATATAAATATAATGATACATCTTTACACATGCGTGTAAATCTTGAACAGTCGTATTGGGCCCATTATTTTAAATACCCCTCGCCTCCCCTCCCCTCGGCCTTTCTGTTCGTCTCACCAACAACACCCACCCCCTAGTTTCATTACATCACCAAATCCGGTCTCGGTGCAGGTGGGTTTTAGCGCTATTACACTCATCTCCTCCACAAAAATGGGGGGGGGGGGCTTTAAAACCCCATACGTAGTGTGCTCGTTAACGAAATCGAGATGTCATTACACAAAGGCCAAGACACACTATGAAAGTGAAACAAGCCACACACAAAACAGATTGACATTAATTGTGTTCGACAGCTCAATATTTTCAGAATAAACTTGAATTTGTGTAGGAACGGGATTTACCGTTCATTGGAACGTCATGCCATTTTAATTTTAGTTTTAAATATTGCCATTATATATGCAATATATAAATATAAATATATATCAAATAAAATAGCGGAGAGAAATATTTGTTGTTTAGGATCGTTGGAGGGGGGGGGGGGAAGGGGGGGGGGGAGAATAAACTTAAAAGAAAAAAATTTTTTTTTTTTTTTTTTGTTGTAAATTGTTATAATTTTTATTGTCTTAAAATACACATTTTGACCCATCTCTTTCGCTCATTCGTATGTTGGTCTTTAATTACTCTTAGATGTAAAAAAAAAAAGAAGAAGAAAAAAGTTACCTAACGAAAACCGTATCCAGAAATTAGTAAGAAAGAAAATTGCTGGACGGGGAAATGTAAAAAAAAAAATGTCATAATAATTTTTTTTCTTCAAAAAATATTTGTTTCCAGTGGCGTAGTGAGGGTGTTTGGCGCCCGGGGGACAAGATTCGCGCCCGGGGACAAGATCCATTTTAAAGCGCCCCCTTTTTCTTTTTTTTCAACTCCCAAACCCATTATTTTCATCAATAAAATAATATCAAAGCACATTTTGGCGCCCCTAACTAGCTGGCGCACGGGGACATCTGTCCCCCCCCCCTGCCCCCGCCACGCTACCCCTCTGCGTTCACATGAATATGATTTAAACTATGGCAGTCACTAATTTTAAGACATCTTTTACGAGGGCCTAAAGTTACTTGGAGGGTTGGGTTGTTGTTGTTGTTTTTTGTTGTTGTTTTTTTAATGGTTTGTTCCGCATCCCCTAGTGCCTAGTGTTGATTGTATTGTCGTCTTGAATGATGAACATGCATATAACTTTAAATATGAATAAGAATCATAAAAAGTATTTTTGGACTACTTACAAAAATATTGAAGTTTTTACTACTTCTTATGGATAAGAATATAAGAATGGAAATTTTTTTATACCATGCCTTCATTTTAAACCGAAACGCTGGCTGGCCGAGCGGTCTGAACTGTCTCAAACCAAATAGCAGGTGGTCAGGAGTTCAATCAAAGCCAACATCCCAAGCACCCCGGGTGGACGGCAACCCATCTAAGAGAAGGCAAACTCTAAAATTTAAAACCAGGAGCCAGAATGATCAACAAATTGATCGTGGGTCCCTCAAATATAAGAAGAAGAAAAAAATAAGAAGAAATATAATATGTCATTTAAAAAATTAGCCGCCAGCCGTATCAGTCGTTAAACATCCCTCCACATCTCCCCTCTCTCAATAAAATGATCGCCGAATAACTAGATCGGTGTTTGTATATATATTTTTTTAAATATTACAAACAATCTGTGGGCTGTGTGCTGTCGGCTGTGGGCTGTGGGCTGTGGGCTGTGTGCTGTGGGCTGTGGGCTGTGTGCTGTGGGCTGTGTGCTGTCGGCTGTGGGCTGTGGGCTGTGGGCTGTGTGCTGTGTGCGGTCGGGCGTGGCCTGTGTGCTGTCGGCTGTGTGATTTTTTTCTCATCAAAAGAATATTAACTTAACTGAAATTAGGATTGGACGTTTATTGGCTTACTAAATAAAACATTTAGAAAAAAAGACAGGTTCCGCTATTGCTGCGACTACGTCAACAAATAGGCACTGGACTGACAAATAGAGTCAAATATCATAATAATATTCATATTCATTCATGCTGTTGGCAATTGGCCTAACTAAATAGGCCTACTGCTAATATAAAAACAAGGCAGAGTATTAGTATAGCCGCTATAGAAGCCCATCGGCTTAGACGATAGACCTATATTTAATATTATATATGCCCCTAAATTATAGTTATAGTTAGTCTCCCATCATATGCCTATACTATACTTATACACAGTAAATGACAGTACTAAACTGGTTATTACTAGGTATATCCCTGGCTCAGTAACTATAATTACTATAAATAATAAATAAATGTAGTATTCTAGGGCTCCTAATAATATATAATAAATTGTTTATAAATAAACTGTAGTTGTAGGCCTATGGACTATGGTATATACATATAACAGCAAAAATATGCCACATTATTCATTATATTATAGGGCCTATATTTGAATTTAAGCTATTTTCAAGTGTTGTCGCTGTTGAACCTGTTGAGTGTTGAACCTGTTGAGTGTTGAACCTGTTGAGTGTTGAACCTGGTGAGTGTTGAACCTGTTGAGTGTTGAACCTGTTGAGTGTTGAACCTGTTGAGTGTTGAACCTGTTGAGTGTTGAACCTGTTGAGTGTTGAACCTATTGAGTGTTGAACCTGTTGAGTGTTGAACCTGTTGAGTGTTGAACCTGTTGAGTGTTGAACCTGTTGAGTGTTGAACCAGTTGGACATGATGTGGTGTTTGGTTAGTTGTGTTAATAATTTATGAAATTCAAAGCACACAATTGACAATAGTTATATTTTCATGCACTTTTATTAATTAATTATATAAACAATAATATAGTAAAGTGCATTCTTTGTAATCATGATTTCACTTTTGAAATTGTTCTTCTATTAAAAACTTCTGTAACCTTCAAATTTGAAGTTCATTACTTGAATATTTAATGTTATGTCTTATAACATTAGAGCTTTATAATATATATCAATATAAATATCCACATCTTCCTTTATTTTTAAATTTTAAGAATCAAATTGTGAAAAGATGAGCTCCTCTACTTCTACATATTTTGATGATGATGAGGGCCCTAGGGAAATTTCTGGTTTTGTTTCGCTAGAACTTATACTTCAACATGGTCATCACGGTACAGCTTCAGTTTTCAGAGTAGAATTTCCACTATTTTCTTCCATAAAGTTGCTGAAAAAAGATATGGAACCAAGGGTAGGTGACTTATAGTTATAAGTGTTAATTAAGTATTTGCAGGTATTATTCAAAATCCCGTGTATGACTCTTCAAATGCTCATGCAAAAAGTCATGTTTAAGCTGTTTAGAATTAAAATAAAAACAGCCCTTCATAATTTCGTAACTAAATCATCCTGCATTAAACCATAGCTTGCGATTTCCTTACTGTATTCAACTATATAGGTTCATTCTGCTGAAACGAATTGTGCTAATTCCTATTGGTAATTCATTCTTTTAATTAATAATCAACTAATCAACAGATCAAGGTTAAACCAGAATTCCAAGAATGGTTTTACAAAGGGATTTTATTGAAAGACGATGACACTATGCTGAGCCTAAAAGTGAATGTTGATGACAAAATTGTTGTGAAGGAGAGGACATAAGCATGTTTGATTAGTTTTTAAGTGATTCAGTGAAGTGTGAAGAATTTGTACACCACAAACTCCAAAAACTTATGTTGAATTTAAGCATTTTAATTCCACTATTGTGAGTAAGAACCGAAAAAAGTAGGTTGTTCTTTTTTACTTTAAAAATATTTAGTGTTTGGCTTGAAATAATCTCATCAATTTTATTTTACTAGTCTAGATTCTGTCTTAAGAATCATTTGAATTTTTAGTGGGTTTTTGATTTGTTAAGCGCTTTCTGTTCATGACGTGTAGGATGACCCATCCTAAGCCTCTAACTTTTAAATGGCTTTTTTTTTTTTTTTTTAAATAAGATTTATTTTACTGACAGTACAATCATCAAGAACTGAATGTTATATTTTTGTTATCTTGTGAATTTTGAAAATTTTACCAATATTTAGGTTTTTGATTTGTTAAGCGCTTTCTGTTCATGACGTGTAGGATGACCCATCCTAAGCCTCTAACTTTTAAATGGCTTTTTTTTTTTTTTTAAATAAGATTTATTTTACTGACAGTACAATCATCAAGAACTGAATGTTATATTTTTGTTATCTTGTGAATATTGAAAACTTTACCAATATTTATGATGACAATTATGATGATTTATCTTATTATTGAAAAAACTTTGTAAGCTATTAAAAAATCTGCCCCATTATACATACTCTCAAAGAAACGTGGCTATGTAAAGTTTTGTAAGTTACAAGTCTTCGTTTGATCTAGTTGAAACCTAGAAATAAATGGTGTGCTTGTTGTTTATACAAAATTCCATGTATGTAAATTGAAACATTTCACATAAATATTTCTTAGCTGTTTTAGTTGTACCTACAATAAACATGCATCGTAAAAAACCTCAACGTTGTTGTTTTATAATAATTTATATTTAACAAATATATTTTATTTAAGTACCGGTATGTAACAAACGCATCACCTATCACCTGATCTATTTAAAATTGAGTTTAAGTAGTCTCCTTTGCTGTTTAATTTTTTCAAATTGAATTTGTAATATAATATTGTTCTGTTTCTTATGGTCAGAGGTTGTCAGTTGTGGTTAACTTTGACTTGACCAGTAGTCTAAGAGGAATAACATTAACTGTATGAAGTGTAGTATGGTTAACATTGACTTTTACAAGAGACCAACTGGAAGAGACCAACTGGAAGAGACCAACTGGAAGAGACCAACTGGAAGAGACCAACTGGAAGAGACCAACTGGAAGAGACCAACTGGAAGAGACCAACTGGAAGAGACCAACTGGAAGAGATCAACTGGAAGAGACCAACTGGAAGAGATCAACTGGAAGAGACCAACTGGAAGAGATCAACTGGAAGACATCAACTGGAAGAGACCAACTGGAAGAGATCAACTGGAAGAGACCAACTGGAAGAGACCAACTAGAAGAGACCAACTGGAAAAGACCAACTGGAAGAGACCAACTGGAAAAGACCAACTGGAAGAGCTCAACTGGAAGAGATCAACTGGAAGACATCAACTGCAAGAGACCAACTGGAAGAGACCAACTGGAAGAGACCAACTGGAAGAGACCAACTGGAAGAGACCAACTGGAAAAGACCAACTGGAAGAGACCAACTGGAAAAGACCAACTGGAAGAGATCAACTGGAAGACATCAACTGCAAGAGACCAACTGGAAGAGACCAACTGGAAGAGACCAACTGGAAGAGACCAACTGGAAGAGACCAACTGGAAGAGATCAACTGGAAGACATCAACTGCAAGAGACCAACTGGAAGAGACCAACTGGAAGAGACCAACTGGAAGAGACCAACTGGAAGAGACCAACTGGAAGAGACCAACTGGAAGAGACCAACTGGAAGAGACCAACTGGAAAAGACCAACTGGAAGAGATCAACTGGAAGACATCAACTGCAAGAGACCAACTGGAAGAGACCAACTGGAAGAGACCAACTGGAAGAGACCAACTGGAAGACATCAACTGCAAGAGACCAACTGGAAGAGACCAACTGGAAGAGACCAACTGGAAGAGACCAACTGGAAGAGACCAACTGGAAGAGATCAACAAAATTCTGCAATGTTTAAGCCTTCACCCAGTAGCGTAGCGAGGGTGTTTGGCGCCCGGGGACAAGATTCGCACCCGGGGCAAAGATCCATTTTTAGCGCCCCTTTTTCTTTTTTTGCAACTCTCAAACCCATTATTTTCATCAATAAAATAATATCAAAGCACATTTTGGCGCCCCTAACTAGCTGGCGTCCGGGGACATCTATCCCCCCTGCCCCCACCACCCTACGCCTCTGATTGTTTCGCACAAACTTCTGGTAACAAACACAATTGAAAATCGAACTCAAAACCCCACCTCCCATCTTCAATTGACATAAATATGTGTATATAACTGCATGATATGCGAATGATTTCAAGTTTCAAGTTGAACGGTCAACTATATGGACAAAACCTCTTTTTTAAATTATATTGACAAAAATCTGTCTAGCAAACAATATGGATAAAACCTCTCTATGAAACAATTATGACAAAACCTCTCTATTATACTATTTTGACAAAATCTCTCTATTATACAATATGGACAAAACCTCTCTATTATACTATTTTGACAAAATCTCTCTATTATACAATATGGACAAAACCTCTCTATTATACTATTTTGACAAAATCTCTCTATTATACAATATGGACAAAACCTCTCTATTATACTATTTTGACAAAATCTCTCTATTATACAATATGGACAAAACCTCTCTATTATACTATTTTGACAAAATCTCTCTATTATACAATATGGACAAAACCTCTCTATTATACTATTTTGACAAAATCTCTCTATTATACAATATGGACAAAACCTCTCTATTATACTATTTTGACAAAACCTCTCTATTATAAAATATGGACAAAACCTCTCTATTATACTATTTTGACAAAATCTCTCTATTATACAATATGGACAAAACCTCTCTATTATACTATTTTGACAAAACCTCTCTATTATACAATATGGACAAAACCTCTCTATGAAACAATTATGACAAAATCTCTCTATTATACTATATGGACAAAACCTCTCTATTATACTATTTTGACAAAATCTCTATATTATACAATATGGACAAAACCTCTCTAGTAAACTATACGGACAAAACCTCTCCAGTAAACTATATATGGACAAACCTCTCCAGTAAACTATATATGGACAAACCTCTCTTAGTAAACTATATGGACAAACCTCTCTTAGTAAACTATATGGACAAAACCTCTCTAGGCTTCTGCATGGCTCTGTAATTGGACTCTGGGCTCTCAAGGGCTCTAAACCAGGCATTGCTTATCTGAGCCCCATCATGGCCCAATCTACATCTACGTGTGTAACCCCAGCAATGTTAAAAATGACCGCACCATAAATTATTACATATGAACTATATTTAAGCAACTCATTGAATTCCCGATTTTATTATTATCGCTTTTAAATGCGAAGTATTTTTTTCCGCCTAAGGAAGTTAAAAATAACCTTGGGGGGATTCCAAAAATCAGATCACCATTTTTTTATAGTTATATTATTATATGAATACCGCATTCTATGTTGCAGTTTCAAAAGATAGGCAAATTGCGCAGTAAACTTCGTAAACTGTTGCACAAATGTTTGACATACACCGAAACATAAATGATATCTCGTAGAAGAACAGGTTGTTCGACTTCCTTCAGCGTTTTAAATTTCGCCAGAAATAAATTGCAACTCCTTCAAAACGTGCAGAGAGAAAGAAATATTTTATCAGTGAAGCAGTTTTGTAAAGGTTCTGGGGGAAAAAAAACAACAAAACAACAACCAACAAACAAACAATGTTTTGTGAAAAGCCTTGTCATGCTGTGTTGTCACCTTTGGCTCCAGCCAACAGGACGATGGCGTCGATGGCAGCACATTCTCTGAGGCTAGCTCTGCGCCCTGGAAACACGTGTTTGTAAAAACTGTAGCCAAGCGTGGCCTATCACTATTTTCATGTTTACAAAATAACACACGCACACACACATATATAAATACACACACATCACACAATTTAAAAAAAACAACTAAATAAACAAATTAAAAAAAAGCAGTCCAGCAGCCATCTTTATATTGGCCCAGGTTCAGTACCTCGGGTATCTACAACCCAAAAAAAAAAACAAAAAAAAAAACGTAATAAAAAAATAATAAAAAACCGTCTCTACACACTATGGCAAAGATTACAGCTGTTCAACTATGTTCAGGATTTATCACTTATCTGGATAGATGTTATCAGTACATGATTATACTTAGGGCCTTATGCTATTGTTACGGAAATTCGGACTGGAGATTTGCGTGCACGGTTGTAAAGCCAGACTGGAGGTATCGGATCTTTCGGAGTTGATGTTGTTGTTGCTGGAGGTATCGGATCTTTCGGAGTTGATGTTGTTGTTGTTGTTGCTGGAGGTATCGGATCTTTCGGAGTTGATTTTGTTGTTGCTGGAGGTATCGGATCTTTCGGAGTTGATTTTGTTGTTGTTGCTGTTGACCGAAGTTGTAATTTGTAACTTCTCATAATTTTTTATCATTTTAAAAAGAAAATTTAACTTTGAATGCCTTTTTTAAAGCCCACAATGTTGAAAAGGACTGTAATGACTTTATGACGGAATTGGGAATATCTTAGATTCGGGATCGAAATTTGCGTGCTATTTTCTGTGACCGGGCGGCATTTGAAGGACACGAGACCCCTGGATGAGGACACCGCCCGTCGAGATTGCTCAGCTTTGGCAGTGACGTTTCAACATTGATAAGAATTAATAGCGTCCCCCATAATGTCCTAAACCTGATATCACGCGGCTGTGTGTTGGCGTCGTGGTGTGCCGCCCCAAAAGTGAAACGGTCGCGTTTGACTGGTTGCCGCGGCACATTTCGCGGAAAGACTAGACACGATCGGGGCTGTCCCGTCTCACACTGCAGTAATTCGTCCCCGAGATAGGTATGTCATAGACACCTGAACAGGT